GGGATGTGATCATCACAGGACGGACCAGCATTTATTTCCAATCCCCAGCTGTCCTAGAGAAGGTGCTGATGAGCTGCCCTCTTGAACTCCTCCCGTTCTTGTGTTATTTGGGCATTAAAAGTGCTGTTAGGGAGGGAGCTTCAGGAATTTGACCTAGTGACAGTGAAGGAGCTGAAATATAGTTCCATGTCAGGATGGCAATATGGGAGGGGAGCTTGCAGGTCATGACAATCCCATATATCTGCTGTCCCTGTCTTTCTAGATGGTGGAGGTTGAGAGTGCAGAAAGTGCTACAGTGCATCCTGTAGGTAGTATATCCTGCTATCACTGTGCATCAGTGATAAAGGGAATAAATGTTGAAGGTGGTGGATCGGGTGGCTGTCAAGTGAGCTAGTTTGTTCTGGCACTCTTGGAGCTGCATTCATCAGACAAGTGGGGAATATTCCATCACACTCCTGACGTGTGTCTTGTAAATGATGAACAGACGTTTTGAAGTCAGTAGGTAAGTTACGCAGTACAGGTTTCTCATTCTCTGACCTCCCCTGTGGACACCGTATGTACATAGCTGGTCCAGTTGCTTTCTGGTCACTTGTAGCTCCCTTCTGCCAGGATGTTGGAGGGATTCAGTGATGTTCATGCCTTTGAATGTCACGGAGAGACTGTTATTGCCCATCATTTGTGTGGCATGAATGTTTTCAATGGAAATGAGCTATACAATGCAGGAATGCATCTGAACTTTGTTTGAATTTATAAATGTCTGCATAGTACATGAACTTATTCATATAAAGGTGTGCACCACTCGTTTTGTAAATCGCTAGCAATGAGAAACAAAAAGTAATGTTAAAAAGGCAAAGGACAGTACTATTTGTGCATCAAGTATTTGAGAAAAGGGTTGAATGATTGAACAAAATCAGATACCTATTCCGCAGTAGTGCCCAAGTGGTAGTTTGGTTACTGTTGTAGTTAGTTTTGCAGGTTGTTAGTTACAGAGCAGCATCATGGTGCCAAGTGTTTATTCCCCTTTTCACACGTGCTCACTCACACTCTGTCCTCCTCTCTCCCTCTTTTCCCCCATATGTTCTCTCATGCTTACGCTCACACTCTGTCTGTCTGTCTCTCTCCTTTGTCTCAAAAGGGCAACATACCCCACCTCACACAATGTTTTCACTGGGCTTCTTCGTGCCTTAACAACGTGCCCAGCAGAAGTACACAGGTAGCTATTTGCTCGTACAATCTGAACTGCAGCATCACCTTATCCATTTCTTCCCTCCTTCAGCTTTGCCATGCAGTGAATGGCCTGAACATCTCAGGCTACCACAGGAACAGACTGGGACTTTTCTGCGGGGACAAGAGGTTCTGGATTACTCCTCCTCACTCGGTGGAGGGGGGGGGGGGGGGGGGAAGAACATTGTGACCAGCATTTGAGTGAACCCGCAGTAATTTTATCAAATTCTTTCCTCCAAAGGTTCTATTTTTAAGCACTGTTGATCAAGCCACCAAATACATCGTGCAAATGGACATTTTATAGCATTGGTCATGTCACATGAGACTCCATATTGTACTAGTCCCAATCCTCCACTTGTCTGGAAGGCACACAGGAACTGGCTGTGTTCTCCTTTTGACCAGTTCCGGTACAAATGCCTGGCCTTGGACACCGTCGATAAAGGATGCAATCTTTGCCATTGGCACTTGGAAAAGAAAGAAGCTTAACCAGCCTGGAGTCGCACCCAGAAGGTAGAAACAGAAGGAACAAATGAAAAACAGAGATAAGGAAAATGGATGATCGTGAACAGGAGATAAAAGTTGGGTTCATGTCGGAGGGTTGCTTTGGGGGAAGCTGTGAAGCACTTTTCCATGTGAAGTATAATGGAAATAAGAATGTCTGTCCTCGCATAGTCGGTGAATACAGAGTTTGACTGCAGCATTCAAATATAAGATTGATAGATCTATGTTAGGTAATGGTACTAAAGACAGGCACGTGGAGATTATGTATAGAATAGCCAGGATTCCAATGATTGATTGGAAGAGGCTTGAGGGGTCGGGGCTAAAATGGGATTGGGAGTTTGGAGCTGAAGCACCAGAAGAAAGAAATTTCACCGGGTTGGAAGGGAGCGAGATGGTCAGATTTAACAAGTGACAGGGCCATGATGAATTTAGAGAGTTGGATGACAAGGGGCTTCCACAGTGATCTGGATTTTGAGGCAGTGAAATGTTGAGAGCTGAAATGCTGGTGTTGAATGATAGTCAACATCACTTTTGATTAATTAATCTGTTTGATCTACTAAATATTAAGCTAACATATTTTACTTCAATAAAATACAAAAGGTGGAATATTCCCAGGAAACAAATGATGTAAGAATTAACAAGTAAGTTAGGAGAATCGTGTGAGGTTGGTAGTAAGGAGTTTTCTGCTGTCAAGAGAAGAATGTCCCAATTTCCAACCAAGTGTGGAATGGTTAGATGAGATTCTGCTGATGAAGAGCGAGAGGCTTATTTGCATCCATTATACTCATTACGATGTTATTCTGCCTCATTGAGAGGCAGTTTCCCATACTCTGTGTCTGATCAAAGACCAGACAGCAACAATTCCTGATATGAAAGTTAGAGCAGTGACTTGGCATCTTCAGATCACCTTACCCTTCCAGCCCTCCATCAGTCACCAACATCTCGGCACATTCCACAGGTGACAAATGTCTGAAAATCCCCCCACCCCCCCTAAAAACCCCAGTCATCAAGACCTCCAGGTGTCTGTCAGCAAAGCAAGTCTAATTGCCCTCTCTGACAAGTCGGTGACAAATTAGTTTAACCATGGAGTACAACAGTGGGCTGTCGGTATTTGACCGGGTGTATGGCTGGCCTTTAAAGATGGTACTAGTGCCAGGAAACCTTATTGGCCTGTAACAAGTGGGAGAATAGGACACATGAAAAGCTATATAGGCGGGGGAGTAGGTAACAAGGTAAATTTGGAACGAATGTTTTGGGGGGGGGGGGGGGGGGGGGGGGAAGGGGAGCAAAATCCACGAGGGCCTGGGGAGAGAGAACCTGCAAGAAACTTTCCAAAAATGGCACCGCGATTTCTAATATTATACAGACCCCAAGTGTAAGCTGATTGCACATTATCGAAGTGACTAAACTAAACCAGACTGCTTCCTGTTTGATGTAAAATGATAATATTTACTGTGGAACAGAATTCCCAGGCCGCTAGGAATGCGTCAGAAGTTTTGTGCCCTGGTATTCGCATTTGCCCTTTTTTATGTTGTTTGAGTTTGTTTATACTAAAGTTTATAGTTAGTGTTCTAAATACCACAATATATAATTTGCAAATGTTGTGTAATTACATGTTCGTGCATATCAGGGCTAAGCTGGAGCTTTTGAGGCCCGGATCTGTTTTCTTTTACTCAATTTGTCAACTGCCAATTTGCTGGCCTGCCATATTTCAGGCTGCAGCCTGAAAGAGTATCATTTTTAAAGAATGTGACCTTGTAGGACAATGGATAATGCCATACTTTTACTGTAAAGAAAAGTGATGTTTGTATCTTGAAGTTATTCAGCTGAACATCAGTTACGTAATTTAAGTAAGAAATGTTTGCATTATTGAGGATGAATTTATTTTTAAGTGTGGCTGAAATCCCTTTTGTAAATGTCTACATTTAAGCAGTAGAACCAACGTTTTCCACGAGAGCAAATAGATTTCCTCATGGAAAAATGAATCTCTGAACGTGAGAATGTATATGGTTACTGATGTTGGTGGGAAAAGTTGGCTCTAGTATTCTGTAGGGATACTTGTTTTGTGTGGTGGTTATTTTGCTAACATTAATGAATGAAGGAAAATGTACCTCATGATATCTGGAATTTAATTACAGTTATAACACAGGTATGTTTAAAATGGGACCACTGTGTGCCTCTATATGTAATTACATGGATCAGTTTAATTCGTAAGACATACTTTCTGAAACCCCTCCAGAGCTCTAGTTTTAAAGACTGGAATGTTTTATGAGTAATGTTGTTGCCCCTTACCACTTGTGTGGGATGCTGTGGAAACGGCTGGCATGTAACTTTGCTAAATTTGTGTCCCTAATTAAAAGCTACAGAATAAATTTATTTCTGAATTATACTAAGTGTTGTGTATCCAAGCGAGGAACCTGAATAGGCTCCTTGCAATGCCTATTGTTATACAGTTTGAGTGCCCACACAGGGTTGGAATGTTTGTTCTTTCAGCAGACGGAGTTGCAAGTAATCCGCGACACATTTAGACATCTCCTGTCTCGGCATTAATTTCCATGACAGCAGTCTTTCAAGATCATTGCACTGTAATTTGAGTCTGATGGAGAAAGTGAAAAGGCCCAGTTCTGTCTTGAAGTTTGTAATATTTCTTCAGTTATGGGGGATATGTCCCATTTGTTCAATAAGTTTCTGTCAAGGGAGAAAGGGTTAGAATTTTCATCTGGTTTCCATATCTGCTGCACCCATTCTCCCTTGCCGTCTATTTCTGGTGGAGTTTTGGGTCATCCTGGGAATTGTGCACTCTATTAATCTCAGTAGAATTTGAGGTAGTGAAGAATAGTTTTGATTCCCACCTACAGAGCTTCACCAGCTAAAAATAATTGGTCCCTCTCTGATTACCTTCCCCAAGATAGCAATTTCTTTCATTGGAAGCAGAAGATCACAAAAAAGAAATGTCCTTTGAGACCGCCATCTGCGAAAGAAGCTCTGACATTCCAGCATGCTCCGCACCCAGGCTCTTAAGTCAACTTGGTGCTGGGATTTGTGATTGGGTCAGTGCCACTGACTTGGGACAATAGTGTTTGGGGGCATCCATGGTAATGTGAATGTTTTGGAAGCTTAGATGTGTGAAAGAAAAATGCAGTTAGACAATTATTCTTGTGCATCTTTCTTCTGTGCTTTGGATTTTTTCTTTGTAATTATGATTAAAAATGTGATCTAGACTTAGACATGTAATTTCCAAATTCTTTTTTCTCTTTGCTTTTTTTTTGTTGTAGGGCCAAGCTATATTTGCAAGTGGAAGTCCTTTTGACCCAGTTAGATTGGAAGATGGACGTGTGCTGTATCCTGGCCAGGGTAACAATGCTTATATTTTCCCAGGAGTTGCACTTGGGATTGTAGCCTGTGGCGTGAGGCACATCCACGATGAAGTTTTTCTTATTGCGGCAGAGGTAAAATGTGTGTTTATAATTCCATTTTCCTATGGTTTGTTTGTAGACTATAGCATTAGTGCTTTGGAGATGGCAAAATTAAATTAATAACGGAAGGTGATCTCCAGCATCTGCAGTTCTTTGTTTATTGTGCAATAACATAAGGTGTTTGGTTTATTGAGTGCACACACCATCTTCAGCACAGTATGTCTGCCCTTTATTCCATTACTGTGGGACACTGATTTAATGAATTCAGTTTTTCATTTCAATAAGTGTAATATTACAATTGTGCTCCCGAGCTGCTTTGCCCTGAATTATAGGGACACATCCTTAATTTCAAGTAAGGTAGCATTTCTAATGTGCTTAAGGCTACACTTTGAATATATGACCAACAGACTGGGATTTATTTTTTCCTAGAAATATGTCAACGTTGTTTTCTATTGAATGCCATGTGGTTCAGTGACGTATTGATGGGTTTACTGTATCTGGCGCTCTGCTTCACCCATTGCTTTATTCCAGGAGAAACAAAAAGAGGGAAGATAATTTGCTTAATAAGGCACACAGCTACTCCTTTATCTGCAAAATGAAGTGCAAGATATAACGTCTCAGTTCTTTAGGTTGTTTTCATGTAGTACTGTAAATGATCAATCATTTGTTTATGTGGTTAAGAGCAGGTTGACACACTCGTGACGAGCAATACAGTAACAGCTTTGAATGTCGGCTTTTCTCTCTCATCTGTTAGAGAATATTTCCAAATACGTAAACAGTACATACTTGTAGTGCATTTACAATTTTTATAAAATGTGAAGTGTTTATCTTTGTAGCTTTCCATTTGGAGGGTAATGCACTTTAGGACAAGTAATATCTTTCTGTTCATGAGTGCAAATACCACAGTGCAACATCTGAAATCCTTCATTCTTACAGTCAGCTTCGTCCAAAATAAGCATTAAGCTAATTCTAAATAAACAGTACATCATGGTGTGGTTCCACAGCACAACGTTTGAAGTTTTCCTGCCGTACAGTTAGATGTAAGATGATATTTGAAGGTTGGGAGCTCATATCTCCAAAACAGGCATTTTATGATGGGGTTGTCTATATTTGCAGCAACCCAGATAATGGAGGCTTTTGGAGAGCTTGCTAGAGCAGACTTTTTATTTGAGTGTTGCCTGTTTTATTTTTTCTGCTTTATGTCCCTGTTGTTAGCACTTCCTGTTTTGACACTCCCAGGCAGTGAACGTGGGGAGTGCAATTGGAAAGGGGCAGTCTCGTTTCTACAGTGTTATGATCGCAGCTGATGATAATAGTAGACACATCTGATCAGAGTGAGACTTCTCTTGATAGAGTATAAATGCAGTTTTTGCAATTTGTTTTCAAATTTGCAGTGATCAGTCACTAAACGTATTCACAAGAAACTGCAAATTAACAAAAGAACATCAAAGTTTATGACACACAAAATATAGAAAACATACTACATTACACTATACAAGAATCACCTGAAATGGTTTCACAATAAATAACAAATGAAGATTCAATCCTTTACCCTCAACAACAATCTTACAAATATTCAAACCTCAAGGAACGGTCACCCGGTTTCCAATTTAAAGTTTCATGCTCAGTGGACGTGGCTGTAATTGATTTTGCTTTTTAGCAAAAAATCCGCAATCAGTTGCTGCTAATTCTTTAGTCAATGTCTCCTCCCGAGACCCTTAAACTACAAATGCAGCTAATTTATTTCTTAATGTTGGTTTCTTTACACTCCTTTTCCAGAAACAGAAGGCTGTGGAACTTTTCTCTTACTGACCTTAAGCCACTCAGGACTGATTTCCTTATGCTCTGACTGTTTTGGAAACCACTAAAGTGTCCTGCTGCTGCTTCAAGCTTTTTTTTCCTCTGATTGACATGGTTCTCCCTCCAAAAGGGCCCTGTACATTAACTGACCCACCTTTGGTGGTTCTGTCCTTTTATAAGGAACTTCTTTCTGTCTCTATCTCCCTGTGTCATAGGACACACTGTTGCTAAGAACTAAAACTGTTATTTTCTTGCCTTTGCTTCCAAGGCACTGACCTCAGTGGTTTTAAAAGCTTTATTTAGATACATGTAAATGAATTTCCAGACAGCCCAGAACCAATCACGGAACGCAATATAAAACTAAAACTGTCTTTCCATTCCTAATGCTTCCTAAGAAAGACGAATCACTCTTAAAGCTGTACATGGTTCTATATGTGGGGTATACATGAGCCAAGTGGCCTCCTTCAGAACTTTAGAACCCAAGTTTCCAAATCAATCCAATAATATATCACGAACCTTCACATTATGTTTGATATCTTTCTTATGGAAAAGTGTGTAATGCTGACACCAGGCAAAAACATGGGCTAGTGGGGGGAAAAAGGGCATATGCTTTGAATAGTGGGGGAAATGTCTAAGTCAGTGCGCAGGGAAAATGGCCAAGAGTGGCCCGGAGCAGCCAGGAGTGGAAAAGTAATGATGAATGCTGATCTATTGCTTTGATGCTTTTCGTTCAGTTAAATAACTGATTAAGACGTACTTTGATTACTAAACTGATTACAGTAATACATACATTAAAATCTTTCTAATTTTTGCTGATACTACTTTCCCACACCATGCACTTTGAGTGAGCAGAGTGCAGCCTGTGTGTGTGACAGGAGATTGTATCTGAACAGAATGGAACTCTAAATATGCCACATAATGGCATTTGCTGAGTCACCGTGAACCGACACCACACTGTTGGAACACTTGATCCATATTTGTGTTTGAAAATTAACTTGATCTAGCTTCCCCCACTATTCATGTCCATCCACTGTTGTATATGAGTCTAATTGGTTTAACACTGATGAATGCCATAGCACCACCTTCTGTGATATTACCATATGGACCTGTGAACAGGACAGCAAAGAATCTTGGAAGACTAAGACCTAACATCCAGATGTGACTATCTGATCAGTGTAACCTGAAACCAGTTGCTCAAAGGCAGTTAGCCACTTTGTGTTCAATACAAGAGCCACTTCTTGTTAGACCAGGAAGTGATTTTCTTCCATCACACTGGACCAAGCAGATATTATAGATCCTTATACTTAGAGGTTGGTGGCAGCAAACCTATAATTCAAACTTTCCTGAAGGTGCCCAGGCCGCTACTTCCAGATTTAACACGTGAGCCCTGATCAGAGATAACAGTGTGGAGCTGGAGGAACACAGCAGGCCAGGCAGCATCAGAGGAGCAGGAAGGTTGATGTTTCGGGTCGGGACCCTTCTTAAGAACCCATTTCTGAAGAAGGGCCCCAGTGCGAAACATCAGCTTTCCTGCTC